GAGGAGGGCCACAAAGATGATCAGAGGGCTGGAGCATCTCTCCTAAGAGGACAGGATGAGAGTGGGGCTGTTCAGCCTGGAGGAGGCTTCAGGGGGACCTTAAAAAGACTTGACTTTATCTGAGGGAAGCCTACATGAAAGTTCAAGTTTTTACAAGGGCATGGAGGTGATGGGACAAGATGGAATGACTTTAAGTGTAAGCAGTGTAGGTTTTTATTAGATACTAGGAAGAAATGCTTTCCTGTGAGGATGGTGAGACCCTGGCACAGTATGCCAGAGAAACTGTGGCTGCCCCATCCCTGGAAATGTCCAAGGCCAGGGTGGACAGAGCTCGTTGCAACCTGGGATAGGGGAAAATGTTCCTGTCAATGGCAGGGCTGGAATGAGATAAGCTTTAAGGTCCCTTCCAACCCAACCCAACCCAATCCAACCCAACCCAACCCAACCCATTCTGTGATTCGTTGAGTTGTTCCCACCAGAGAGCACTGGCTGTGGGCTGTGTGCCACTGACAGGATGTGTTTGCTGTGGCATTTGGTGGCACCTCTCTCAAGCAGGGTTGTGTTTGTTTGTTTGTTTGTTGTGGCACTTGGTGGCACCTTTCTGGAGAAGGCATATTTGTTTATTTGCCATAGCATTTGATGGCACCTCTCTGGAGCAAGGATGTGTTTGTTTGGTGTGGCTTTTGGTGGCGTCTCTGGAGCAGGGATGTTCAAAAACCCTCCAGAGGCCTCACACTGTCCAAAGCAGCAGGAACCCCACCATGCAGGAGACAGGGACAGCAGGGAGCAGATTGTGCCACCTCATCTTGCTCTCCCCTCACCTCCTGGTTGGGGATGGCCACTTGAAAATACAGTCCTGCTATGCTGGAAGAGAGGGGCTGGGTTTCTAGACTGGTTTGCAAAGATGAATATTCTTTAAAACATCTTTCTCTCCAGTCTTTGATCTGGCCTGTTAAGCAGGCTAAAAAGATGCACCAGTCATCACAGCAACTCATTTTTGATTTTTCTTTTTTCTTCTATGTCCACTCCAAGGGAAGGAAGGAGAACCAGCTACACACATCCAGCCATTAGAGGGCTACTTGGCTTATCTCTCAGGACAGACAACCAAGTAAATATTCCAAGGGACAGCCTTAACTTTTCTGAACTTCCCAGGGAAGATCAAGGTACTGCTCATACGTGTTTGGGCAGGGGAAGCCTGCAGGTTTCATTTCCTGACTGAAAACAGCTGCTGTGTACTATACTCTTAGGTACCACGGCTCTTAAAAAGAAATAGCCTTGTAGCAATGATTGCACCAACAAATTTGGCATTCCTGCTTTTATATTAAATTTTTTTATTGAGATGATGTAATTACAAGCATTTTAAAAATTATTTGCAACTCACTGGCCCTGAGAATAGGCTTGTTTTTGTTTTGTTACATTCATTTGATTCAGTCCCTTAGCCCCACACCTTAAAAAAACAAAAGCCATCATCAATAAAAACACTAGAATTTTATTTTTTTTAAAAAAGACCTCAAACTCTGGATTCGCGTACAGTTGCAGTCTGACAAAAAAGATCTGGAGAATGCATATGTGGAGTTGGAAATATGGGGAGGATGGCAGCAACTTAGTGTTCACAGAAAGGGCCCCAGTAGTGTTCTCTGGATGGAGAGGCAGCCAACAGGCTTCAAACTGTAATCCAGAAAATATTCTGCTGTGGAACTGCAGCGTGTCCTGCCTGACTGACCTGTGGCTTGCTGAGGCTTGTAGCAAGGTGATGACAATGAAGGTCCCACTTAACCTTTGCATAACCACTAAACCACCCAGAACCTTTGCTGGGTGCTGAGCTTGGCAGGGATCTGGCCAAAGCCCCTCTGGTCAGGCAGGGCCAGCCAGGCACAATGGCCAGGACCGTGTCCAGGTGACTTTTGTGCGTCTCCAAGGATGAAACGATTTCTCCCTTTCCCCACTTGCTCTAGTGGCAAAGGCAGAAAGTTTGGCTGTTTTGCTGCTGGCAAATTCTACACTGGGAGATCAGAAACTGGGGGAGGGGAGGAAGGCAGGTGTCAGTGTTGGTGGAAAGACAGAGTTACCTTTGCTAGCCCTGGCAGGCAGCGATGCATTCCTATGGCTCAGGATGTTAATGCTGTCTTTGCATTCCCATGGATCTGCCAGTGGATGTGAGGTCAATGGGAATCTCCCTGCAGCTGCTCTAGCCTGCCACTTCTTTTTTATTTTTAGTCATACCTCATAAACTCACTTCAAGACCCCAAGAGCAGTTCAAATCCTGCAGTTCCCACAACAGGCCCCAAGGCCCTGCAGTCCTGGCAGCTCCAGTGTCACCCACACCGTTCCCTTTGGCACCTGGAGACCTGGCAGGAGACAGGGAGGGCCTCTGTGGGACTGGCCTGTTCCAAGGTCAAAGGCTGCTTTCATTCCAACTAGCATCAGCCTTGACAGAACTCCTTCTCTGTGGCTGTGATGACATTGTCTTAAGATGTCCTTTATTTGTGAACTGGGAAGCGTTTCCAACAGCCACAAACATTTTTTACCCTTTGACTTAGATTGTGCAAGTGGAAGTGATTGCATTTCTTTGTAAAGGTGAACATGTCCACTATAAAGCTTCCCTACTGGACAATGTGTGATTTTCCTGTCTTACCCAGTGCTGAAGATGGACTTAATTTGGTAGATAATGGTGAGGAAATGGGTGGATTGTCTCTGGTTCTCTGTACTCTGCAGTGTGCACCTTGGCCATGACAAAAAGCTGTGACTCATCAGAGCACTTTATGCAGAAAGTCTATTGTTTTTCTTTGGTCCCTCACCATCTTGTAACAGCAGGCTGAAGGAAATAATGCAGTTATGCAGTTGTCTAGACCAGAGCAGTAAAGAGGATGAATCACCCTCTGCAAAAACTTTCTCTTTCTACCACTGGACACCCAAGGACCCAGCCAGAGCCTTTCTTTACATTGGTACTTCTGATCACACTCCATCTGTCAAATCCACCACTTCACTCCAGCTCCTGAGACCTGGCTGCAACTTGGGGCCCTTGAGCAACATGACAGAGCAACTCCTTGGGCCCTTGCTCTCAAGGGACCTTGGGTTTCAGATCTGTCACTACTGAAGTCCCACAGTGTCTCCCAATCTCACGCCTCATGAGCTCCAAGGACTTCAGAGTCACACCACAGACAGGTGACACATTGCTAAAAAACATTCCCCTGTCCATTATTGTGAGGCAGAACAGATCAAGTACGTGGTGTGCTGGGACCTGTAACTTACTGACTGTGATTTTATAGAGAAACGTGGCTGGGAAAAGCTCAGGGAGAAATGTGCACCCTGTCATTCCCCATCAGATACTGGCTCAGAAAAATCTCTCCTTGTTGTACGATGCTTATCTGCACCCTTAACAAAGCTGTTCCTTCTACGACCTGTGACTCAATATTCAGTCTTTGGTGAGATTGGCCTATCTCTGTTTAAACACAGGGGACACTGTTCATTGCAGAGTGCCATTTTTTCCTGGAGAGATTAACCCCCTTGTTAAATACGTGGAAAGAGCAAATGTCGTGTTGGTTTAATAGCTGATAAAAGCTCTATCATGGGAATGTACCTTGTTTTTTGGTTGAAATGGATTAGATTAGCCTTTTGATTTTTTTCCAGATCTAGTTTCTTTTATGTTTCCATTAAAGAGGCTTTCTGCTTTTAATGCACTGCTGTGGACGTGCTTTCTTTCAGGCACCATGTGATTCCTGCAGTTTTCCTATCAACCTTCTCCCTCTGCAAGCATCATTTCTGCTGCTAGATCTTCCTTCCATTCAAAGGACCCCTGCTGATGGATCACTGGACACCACAGACATTCCTGTCCTGGTGGTCCAAGCTGTGAAATGAAACAGGCCAGCAGTTTCTCTTATTTGGGCATCAAGGACTGCTGAGCTTTCTGTGACCACACTAGGCACAGCTCTTTACCTCATGCCAAGCAAACCAAAGGGAGGCACCTTGCAACCAGAACAAGACCCCAAACCAAGAAAGCAACACAGCTGTAGGGTTTGTTTTTCTCTTGTCTTAAATCATGTTAAAAACAGGCAAGCTGGGACAAGCTTCCTTGATGGCAGAGCTGTAGGATGGGGGAGGGCAGTGGGTGGCATATAAAAAAAAACCAAATCCCAAAACAAAGCCAAAATCAATGACAAGATATAAGTATAGCTATTTGGTCTCTAGTTCTCTAACATCAGATTTTGGAGTGGTGAATCATCTACCTCTCCAGCAGCACAAAATGATCCTGGAGAGGCTTCTGAGTAATACAAACCATGTGATGAGTCCCTTTGCTTTCTCCCTATGATGTAAGGAACAGTCCTTCACCTTTCACCCCAAAATTGCTGGCAGGTATGAGAAACACCCTTTCCTTCTGTAATTACAGAGACTTCAGTCTTTCTTTTTATAGAAAACTCTGAACTGAAATTCACAACTCTGCATTGTGAATATACTGGGGGGAATTACATATATATTTTTATATATATATGGAACTTTTAGATATATATATACACACATATATATGTATTTGTCCCCACCCTCCCTTCCCCCTCCTCCATTCTACCACTTCTTTGCTAGAAGGAGGGAAAATGTTAACTGATAGTCACTTGCAGAGGTTTGTCACATTTATTTTTCTCCTCTCTGGAGCACTTAGGTGATTGGTTTTGGTCCATATTCCAGCAGTTAACAGCCACTCGGAGTGCTCTCTGTGAGCCCAAGCTATGCTGGGATGACAGCCCAGCCTACATGTCAAGGGTGTCTCCTCTTCATTTGACAGGTATGTGTGAGAAATTCTTTTGGTAGCTTCAACACATTTCCCAGTGGCAGCACATATAAATTGATCCAAGCAAACTGGAAGCCTTGAGCAAATCCCTTTTGTGTTGCTATTGTTTATGCAGTGTTGTGTCATGAGACTTGCACAGAAAATAAGAGCACTCTATTTCCATAGGAAAGCCTTCCAAAAACAAAAAAAAAAAAAACCAAAATAAAACCCCAAAAAACAAAACAAAACAAAAACAAAACAAAAAAAAACAACAAAAAAAGAAGAAGCATAATCTGATGTCTTGTCCTATGTGAGATAAGGAAAGTCAAACTGCATGTTTATTAGGGAAAAAAAATGACAAAAAAAACCCCCAAAACTGAAACAAACCAAAAAGAAAGAAAAAACTCAAGGGAGACTTTGTAGGAACAGTGAAGTAGTGCATAAGTCCAGGCTTTCTCCCCTTGGCTTTCCTGCCAGCACCACTTCTGCCGGTGAGTTTGTTTTGTTAAGGTGCTTCAGGTCCTGCGTGGTCTTGGAGCCAAGCAGTGACCTCAAGTACTGCTCCTGTGCTGCTGCTGCCCCTCCCAAAGCGTGCTGACCGTCAGGCTGGTGTTCCTCCCCTGGACCCACAGAGGTGCTGCACCTGCTTCCTTCAGCACTCATCCTCTTGGTATATTTGTTCATCCAGTTCCTGCGATTCAAGGTGCTCCAGGCGGTCTGTCCGGCCGCTCATGATCTCGTCTGGGGTCTTCATGAACCTGCAAAACACAGAAACAAGGGCATTTCTTAGGGGTCTCAGCTTTTATCTTCAGCAGCTTGTTGAGACCCCTGAGCTCTCCAACTCCCAACATAATCTTTGTTGTATCCTCCCAAAGCCTTGGCATTTCCCAGCTTCTCCCCAGGTAGCTTCCTTCCTCCATACCTTGAAAGGAAACAGAGAAATCACCAGCCTTTACCCTGGCTTCTTGAAAGCCCAAATCTGAACCAAACCCATAGATTTTTCCAAACAATTATATTTATTTCTTCTCCCTCATATTGTTTGCTGTTTTCATGTCAGATGGCAGCTTGGCCCAGGTGCACTCATGTGTGGTGTCTGGTGACAGAGACATGAAAGGTGGTGATGATCAGTGTATTTCAAAGCACAAGCCCTTGCAAGGTGTGGGGAGGCACAGGGTTACTGGTTTGTGCAGGCCTGCGTGTAGGTGAGTGAGAACAAACAAAAAGAGGGGGGAAAAAGCCAAGGTCCAACTCAGAACAAGTTCCAGGAATGGAAAAAGCCCTGAAGGAAAAAGGTTTAGGGCTAGAGAACTGTAAGCAAAGAGAGTGTCTTCCTGTGTGCTTGTACAAAGTGTGGCTGCAGTGAGGCAGCAGCCTCTGTGATGAATGCCACAGCTCCCAGCACCAGTGTCTCAAGGCAGTGAGTCTGCAGGGTGCTGGGACAGAAACTGCCTCTGGGGAGGCATGGCAGCAGCAGGGAATGAGAAAGGACATCCACCAGCCTGCAGTTCAAGTCTGCAGTCTTGGTTTTTGCCAGGACACTTGTGCACAGAGGTCGCACAGAAAGGCTCTGCTTTTTCATTTTCTATTTTATGATTGAAAGGAAGAGAGAGTGGCACAGGAAGGATGAAACACTGGTTTCAACACAAATCAGTTTCCCAACTCCCAAGCACTTCTGGAGAAATTAGGATGAAAGATGTTTATGCTGGAAGTGGTACAAAATTTCACAGTCTTTCATTAACAACGTACTGGTTAACATGCAGCAGTATGAAATGTGTTAATTGTAAGAGCTGATTTTATTTCAGGCTGATGATATGCTCAGTGTCCTTGCCCCAGTGAAAACAAAAACAACCAGCAGGAGCTGGTTACTAGCACTGACTCAGAATGGTCACTGCTAGAGCCTCCCAGCAAACACAGCATAGCCTGGAACTAACCTTTTGCCTTCCCTTCTAATTTTGGAAATCATGTGCATATATGCATTTAGGGGGAAAAAAAGGGCTATGACTCACTGCTGTGTCACTGCTGGAAAAATGCTGCTGCAACAAACAGTGTTACAGTGGTGAAAACCTTGTATGCAGGAGTGGTGAATCAGTGCCTGGCTACACACTGCACCAAAGCCCACGGCCAGACTGTGCCCTGATTTAAACCCTGTGACTGTCCTGCTCATCTTGCATGACAATGAAATCAAAACACAGAGTGGTCCCACTGCCTTGGGACCCTCTCCATGTGGGGCATGGGCTGATGTGAGCTGCACCACAGGACTTTGGGTATTCCTTCTGGTCTGTGCTTTAAGCCACGTCAAGGAAACCACACTGCGGGCATTTCTAATAGCATGTGATTACATTAAAAAAAACCACAAACAAAAAACAACCCAACCCAGAACTGCATGAAAATTAAGACACACTATCTGTGATCTATTTTGTTGCAGAAGACACCCAGCCAACCTGTTAGAAATCCTTTTCTGACTCCATCTTACTTAAAGCTCCATACAGATATCTGCAGATGACAACTGCCTGCACGTAAAGTCACATTTCCTATTATTTCTCTGCTTGCAAGGAATAGCCAAGAAAGGCACATTAATAACTTGATTTTTTGCAGCTGTTCTTTTTCTCTTCAGATATAAATAGGTCTAAGAAAACAACATCAAAAAGTTTTTATTGGGAATTGTGCAAAGAAATGTTTTGCTGGGTTTTTTTTTCCCAGTTTCCAAAGGAAATGAAGTTTATATAGCTCATGTTTTATGCTCTCTGGTGACCTTTGAATCTGTTGGTCAAACTGGCCAAGTCTGACAGAGCAACTGAGGTCTCCAAGGGCATTAAGCTACAATGGTTTTGAGAAAACAGGCAGCCTGGTTGAGAAGAGATGGAGCCCTGTTTTTGTATGCCCCCACTGAAGGGAAGGCTGCAAGAGAAGCACATTCAATGTTCAGCATCAGGAATTCCCCCAGGGCAAAGCAGTCTTCACACAAGGCCACAGAGATACAGGTACCCTTGGTACTGATGGAGCAACCTTGTTTTAACTTTCCACCAGAAAAAAATTTACTACTGAACACTTGAATTTGCCCATGGCTGCTTCTTTCCTTCACTCTCCTTCCCTATGTTTCCTTCTAAGAGCTGACATAAACAAAAGTCATTCCAGAGAACCCTTTTCAGCTGAAGGGAGTTTGAGTGCTAATAAAGTTCTGTCAGCCTTTTAAGAAAACAAATTCCAAGACTGCCTTCCTATTGTTATCACGTCCAAACACACTGTTAGATCCAGGCCACTGACAGCAATGCAGTCTCTGGTCTGAGTTCAGTGCTCTGAGGGTCAGATGTGCACGAGGATTTGCTGGTGTTGTCTGAAGAGGAGTGGAGTGCTCTCACTCTCAAGCTTGTACAAGTAGCTCCCTGCTTTAATGCTGTTTCAGGCTCTATTTCCTAAATTCTTGCTGTAGCTGTGCTGATTTATGAACAGCTCTTGCAGCTCCCTCTCTTCCTTCAAGGCAGCACAAAGAAGTGGTCACTGAGAGCTTCTCTTCTGCAATGTCCTTGAGGAAATGCCTGATCCCTGCTCAGCTTTCACAGGCAGCTGTGTTTGAGAAGTCCATTTGGAGTAGGTTTTCCAGCAGTTTGACTGAACCCATTTATCTAAGGCCTTAAACAATGGCATAGCCTGCACAAAGCAGTGAAAAGACTTCTGTTGTCTCCACTGATCATTGAGACAGGCCTGTGTTTTTTTGTAAATTGGTGGGGCTGCCTTAAAAGCTGGGAAGCACTGCTCTATACAGCTTTTACATGTATGGCCAAGTTCACCTGTGTTATAACTGTGGCAATGAGGTATCCCATACACAATTCCATCTTCCATCCTCAAAGACCACCTGTCCATAGAAAGAAATGGCAGAGAAAGAAAATTACCTGAACAAAAGCCTTTGTCCTGGCTCCTTCCGGATAATATTTAATTTGTAGTAGTGGCGTAGGGCTCTGGACATTTTCTCATAAGTCATATTTGTTCTGTTCTGTTTTTTTCAAAAGAAAAAAGGAAAAAAAGTGGTGAGATGATTCATTAAAACCTTCCTAAGCCCCAAATGAGTGGCAGAACTATCAGAGCTGCCTAAAGTAACCAAGACAGTCCAAGAAATTACATGTACCATTTTTTGCTGTTTGCAGGCCCATTCTGCCCCCACAGCCCTCATCACCTCAGTTTTGTGAGTCTCTTTCCCCACAGAGCAATTTAAGCAAGGAGTTTAACAAGAATTCCAAGCAAGGCTTTTCTACAGTTTCTTGGAACATAGCTAACAAAAGATTTAATTAACTACAAGAGAAGACATTAGGTGGAGGGAGATGCTCATGCCAAGTGGGATGTGACTGGCCTGTTCTTAATGAAAACACCTTTTGTAAGAGCCTGGGAGTAGTGGCTAATAGGCTGAATCTGTCAGCAATCCCTGCTTGGAGCACTGTTCCTCTGGGATTCCCCTGCATTAACTGGTTAATGCTCACAGAGCACTGTGGGGACTGAGCCTGCTTCTCCTCTTGGTGTAAACCAAGAAAACCAGTTGGGTTGTAAATCTGCTTCTGTGACAGATCTCCCCTTCACTCTGGGAGCTGCTGGCCCCAAAGGCCATGGCCAGAGCACTGAGGTACACTGAAGTGTGAGATGATTCATTAAAACCCTCCTCAGCCCCCAGAGGAGATGGCTCTGCTGAAGCTGAGAGTCACAAGGAAGAAGTGATAGGCACTGGCAGCAGAACTGTCCCCAAATTAGGGACTTGGAAGAGCAGGATGAGCCCCTTAGGCTCATCCTGCTCTTCCAAGGAGCAGTGGCTGCTGTCTGGCAGAGACTCCCAGCAGACACAACTCTGCTGGCAAAGTTGTGTCTTAATTTTAATTCCTGCCGTGGGCAGGAAACGCCGGACCAGGAGAAGCTCATTTTTGTTCTGGGAGTCTCCATGTCAGGAGTTTGGCTTCATCAAAGGAGACTGATCCCCCTGCCCAAAACCCCCAGTAAGAGCAGACCCCTCTGCTTGCCCTGACTACAATAACTCTGCAATGGGAGGCCATCAAGAACTCCTGAGGCAATGGAACACTGACAGGGACAAAGTTTTCCCTGCAAAATCTCCTAGACTGCTCATTGGGAAACTCCCTCAAATACTGTTTGTGCTTCTTCCATTTCTTATATGCTGAAAGGCCACTGTGTTGCCCAAGTGGCCAATGGTCTGAAGGAGCTTCAGTTTTAGACACCCAGCATGAGACCTTATGGCCCCATTATTAATATGCAGGTTGGGTAAGTTGGTAAGTTTCATAAAATTCCCATTAGCCCGTATCTCCAGCATGTTCAGAACCACATAGATGACAGCACAACCCTCTGGTATGTCAGCCACTCCTCTCAGAGTTATGTGTTGTCTGAGAATCTGTCCCATCATTCAGGACATACAGCACTGCCCCAGAATCAATCCCTGGGGTAAAATGACTAATGACAGGATTTTGTGCCATTGATCACCATCTTTGCAGCCCAGCAGATCAGCCAGTTTTCAATCTACCTCACTGTATTCTTGTCTTGGACATTAATTAGTCAGTCTTTTAAGCTGTTATGAGACAGTTTCAAAAGCCTTTCTAAAATCAAGATAAGCTATATCCACCATTTTCTCTGAATCCACTGAGCCAATCATTTTGTTGTAAATGGATATCACAGTGGTCAAAAATTATTTCCCTTTTGTAAATCCATGCTGACTATTCATACATTCAAATGAATGTACTTATACACATATACAGAAATATCTATGCATAACTCAACCCCAAACTATCAAAATCAGTAATGGCTTTCCAGAGAACAAACCAGGACCTGCCCTCTTAGAAGGAAATACATAATCCTGCAGCATTTGGTGTCTTTGACAGGGCAGCCTGTGGAATCTGGGAGTTGCTGCAGACAAGAACACATAAAGCTCCTGCTCTGTAGTACAGAGCTCCTTGTAAACTTCATCTCACCAGAATATCCTCAGCATCGGGTTTTGAGAAGAAGTAAGATGCCTTGGGAGAGAAGGATTGTTCATTCTTGCACTCCTTATAATTTCATAATTACATGCATTTAAAACTAAAGGCCTTCAAACCAAACCAACAAGTTGGTTTATATGAAGAATAGGCTTTAGTGCTTCAGGATGGATGCTTTGTATATCTAATGTACATAGAATAAAAGATTCCAGTTTTCCAGTAGTAATTTATATGCCATCTTTTCTTCTTGCCCCCTGCTTATAACTGAATCCTGTGATGGTACAAGAGGCAAAGTGGCATTTCTTCCTTACCTTGTGGTTTCCCCACAGCCGGGCCAGCCCATTGGGATCCACTATCCGAAAGATTTTGGATTCTTTATCTTCCCATCGGATGAAATTTTCGTACCGGCTGTCAGAAAGCAGCTGATAAACATAATCCCAAAGCAACCTACAGTCTGTGGAGAGAGAAGCAAGAAAAGAATTAATTTTCCTTTTTTTTCCCCCCTTGTGATTAATTCTGGAAGGTTTTTGGGTGGATGGATGTATAGTGAAAGGAGAGCTGGGATCAGGGCTGGAACAGCTGCTGGGACCTGAAATGAAAATGGCTTGGCTGGTATTGAGGAATGTTTGCAAAATGGACTGGAATATACAGCCCCTTCTGATGCATCCCACTTCTCCTGACACTGAGAGAGCATCTCCATCTCATCAAAAGCTGTGTGAGGTGACCTGCTGCTCTTAGCTGTGTGTTTATGGTTGTACTGAAGCACATAAAGCTCACATGTTGGCCCTGATGCTGTTGCTGGCTGTTTTAGTGGAGAAATCACAAACCCTGCAACCTGCTCTCCCTGCTTGAGGCTGCCCCTTTCTGTGCTAACCTGTGAGTCTAAAGCATGGGCAATCTTACAGCTTTCCTTTGTAGACTCCATGTGATATAAAACTGAGCTTCTCCCATTTTCAATTTTATTTTTTGTTTTACTTTTCAAGGTTCCTGAAAAGAAACAACTCCTAAGTATTATAATTACTTGAGTGCTATTGAGAGGTTAAATACTTTCTATTTGGATAATTGAATTCAAATTTCCTCTTGGCAAACACTCCTTAGGTCGCTAATTAAAGGTCTAACAGACACTTAAGTTTTAGTTTAGTGTTTTTCAGTTTCATGGCAGTCGCTGGAGACTGAGGAAGCCAAGAACTGAGCTGCTCCTGCTTCCTGTTTGCAATGTGTGTGTGCAGCACAGAATAACTTGGAATGTGGAATATGGAACTGAATTGTACAGAGCTGGGGGTACTGCTGCTGTCAGAAACAACAGGGTTTTCACAGCTCAGCTGTCCAGATTTCTGAGGTGGCTGTGGGGTTGCATTTTACTCTGAAAGCAATACCAGCCTCTGAGAAATGGCTTGTTAAAGTTGTTCAAGGGCTGCCAACCAAAGACATCCAGCTTCTAAATGCCAAAATGGATTCTTGTCAGCCTGTCTTTCCATTCCTGTCTGTCTGGGGCTGGCACGTGTTATAATGGGCATGATGACATGGGAATGTAAAATACTTTTTGAGAAAGAATATGAATAACACATTTAGTGAGCACACCTGAAATGGACAGAGATTTTCAAGTTATTTTCCCACTTCCAAACTTCAAAGAGTATCTCACACTAGTACTGTCTCTAAAACCAGAGTTTAGTTTGCCAGTGCCCTTGCTTTATTCTCTCCCTGCCAGTCCTACAAAGAATAAAGCATTTTGTTTTGAAGAGATGGCATCTGGCAAAAATCACAGGTTCCCATTCTGGCTGAATGGTCACCTCATCCCTGACATCTACAAGAGGAGAAATGTGAAAGGCAAGAGACAAAACTTTTTGCCTGGAAAAACCTTCTTTTCATTATCATTTTTCATAGAAAAAACATTTTCCACAGAAAAATGTCCATCCCTAAAAATTTGGGATTTTTCTAGGTTTTAATTTAAAAAATGAAATCTGGGCACAAGTTTCCCTGGTCTGAAAATTGAAGTTGAATTCTACCACTTGAATTTCTGTCATCCCCCCTCACAAATTCACAAAACACAATTCTTACATAGCCTTTCTGTCAGTGTTTTTGCACACACTCACAGAGAAGAAAAAGCTTATTTTTTACACTTCATTTCTGATTCAAGACAAGGGAGATTATATTGCTCTTCTGGTTTGTGCCTTTTAATATTGTGGGAGGTTTTCAGATAAAAGGGTAGCAAGGTCCTGCTTAAATGGTTCTTTGACACATGTGCAATTCATTCCAGAACTTTTTCAATGCAAGAAGTGTACAAAAAATGTCTTTTTTAGTGCAAGAATCCTTGGAGTCAGCTGGAGGGATGGTGCTCCTGAAGCAGCAAGTCAATGCCTGGCTTTGTCATATTCTTGAATGTTCAGGGCAGACAACCTCCAGTTACAGCACATTACAGATCATATTTACACTTCTGTAGAGATATGATTTACACTCCTCTTTATTTTCACCTCATCATTTGCAATAGGCAGTGTTATTTTAAATCTCTCTCACATTCAAACACACACCCTGGGCCTCCGTCTGCACAAAACCAAAGAAGCACACAAAAAAATCAACCTGAGATGTCCAGGTGGAAACAAGGAGAGCTTCAGATGCTAAGAAGAGCTAGGATTCAAGTGCAGATTTGGTTTTTTTTATTTTTCACTTAGTTTTTAGGCAAAGCTTGAATATCAACACACTTCAAATGAGACAAACAGATCTGCATGTTGAGATCTTCACAAGAAAAATCCCAAGCGATCAAGGGCCCCATCCCATATTCTCAACTGACTGAGCTGCTCAGACTTGCAGAGGTATTTAGCAGGCTGGTGGAATTCACAAAAAACCCCAACCACCCAAGTATCTGAGACTGCAGTTTGCTTCAACAATAAAACTGAAAATCCTTGAAAACTCTGCTTGGTTCCTACCACCACTTAAAGACTTGATTTCAAACCATATGGCTGTCTATCAGCAAATTCAGATATATGGCTCAGTTGCAGTAATTTACTGAGCATCAGGGCAACTGTGGTAACTGTGTCTCAAGGAAATAGGAAACAAAAGGCATTAAACACCAGTAGGAAAGATTGAGGCTCACTGCATTTCTTCTCCCCAGAGCTGAGAGCTCCAAGCACAAGTTAGTTACCTTGCAGCAGCTGATGCTTTGCTTTAGCTGTGTATGAGCTCTGCCTGCACAGGACCTAGAGCAGCTTTGCTTCCTTCTACTTTCACTTGGGACTCCTTTAGGAACTTGGCACTCAAGGGGTTTTGTTTGTTTTTAACCACAAATGGTTGCCATACATATCTTTCTCCACAGATTGCACAGTAAAACATACAAGGTGTGGAGCGTTCTCCTGACTGACAGAGGATCACTAATTAAATAATTTACCAGCAGAGACCATCTTTAACAGGACATTAGAGACAATGAGTCCAGGCTATCTGGGAACTCTTAGAGCTTGGATTATAGCAGAGCCCATCTGCAAGCCTGTGAAATTGGTCAAAACCCAAGAAGAGGTGATACTAGAAAATGCTTTTAAAAGGAGCTTCTCTGCTAGGAAAAGAGGCACCTCCACAAAATGCTGCTGGAAATGACAGAAAACGTGCTCAGGCACAGGGTGGGATTCTTGGGCTGCTCTGTGCTGGGCCAGCAGTGGTTTGATGATCCTTGTGGGTGCCTTCCAGCTCAGGATTCTCTATGATTCTGTGATACAGAAAGTTGCATTTTCCAGGAAGGTCAAAAATATTTTTAGGAAGGTCAGAGGAAATGGAGAGAAGGACTTGTACGTGGCTGGTTGTTTTGTAAATGTCAATCACTTGTATGAGGGAAGTCTGGATGGTGGAAATGGCTCCATGAAGATTCAATCTCCTCCTTGGCTGTCAGAAGGCCTCTGAAGGACCTGCTGCATGAGGGGTGTGTGCTGGCTAGTGAATAATAGCAAAAAGCACATGGATGCTACTGAGGCCAAGCAAGTTTAGAAGTGTGGGAGATTCAATCAGGGAGTTGAGTCAGGGCTGGTACCTAAATTGTTTGAGCATGCTGTGATTTCCTGCCTTTTGGCTAAAATAAGCTTACTTAGAAAGCAACTATGCCTCCCTAGCACAGGGAAACATAATTTCCCCCTAGCACACACAAACTTTTTTTTTAAAGTGAACTCAAATGGTTGAACTTTGCATGTTCTGCAGCAGATAGAGTTGGGACTGAGAGGCTTTAAGGTGATGTAGTTGGGAGTGGGTGAATGGCCTCATCAATATGGAAAGGGCTCCTAAACACTGGCACTTTCATGCTCTACCATTTTCTCAGCTGTAATACTGAGCAAGTCTGAGCTGTGTAATTAGCTGGGAATTAGGGCAAACTGCAGCTTCAAATGGAGAGGTATGGCTACAACCTGGCTAATGCTTCCAGAGGGACTTTTACAGTTATGTACAAGGTAGTGATAAGGTGGAGAGTGCTTAGCTGGTTCTCAGATTGTCTGCCATAAGCACTGCCCTACATGTGCAAGAGGCAGCAGTTTCCCACTCCTGCTAATAAAAACCATGTTATTATTAATTGATTAGGCAGAGTCTTCTGAATACACACCTAAAGAATACCAGCATATAAATACTTCCTAATAGCTATATGATAGTAATAAATATCCCTTAGAATTGAAATACCATCTCAGAATGATCTGTAAATGAAACATTATGGATCTTAGGTTCCTAGTATTTTGATATTTGTCCAGCCATTACAAATGACTTCTCCAGTATCATTTGGCCAAGGTCATCTTCATGTTGCAGTAGTGAGAGGTCTCACATCTGTGCTCCCTAGGACTAAATAATGCTGTTAACAATATAGGCATGCTAAAGACCTCTTTTGTTCAGGATATAACATTCTCCATCACTGAAATATTCCTTAAAGCACACTCTCTATCTAAGCCCTCTGTTGTTTAAATGGGACCCATGGTGCAGAGCTGGCCCTCTTCATGAAGTAACTACCAAAACCCTCTGTAACCACAGAAATGTTTTGTGAGACCCACCCACATCTTGCACTGGAGAGCATTATATAAAAAGTGTTTGATCTGGCTGATGACTGCCCTGGAGCCCAACATGGCTCCACACAGGAAGAGATGCCAAAGGAATGTTGTCATACTCCCTCTGACATCAGCTGAGGCCTTACCCCTTGCTGTGTAGGTTAGCCTAAAATCTCTCCAGCATGATATCATTTGACTTCAATGGTTCTGTGATTTCTACCAGCTGAAGAGTTCCCCAAGCTCAGCCCCATTTATTTTACAAGTTTATTTGTGCTTCAGCTGCATTTGTTCAGAGTGCAGCAAACAATGGCTGTTCACAACTGAAACTCATGAACAGAACCCTGGAAGTTCTCTGGCACTCCAGTTTCTCTAAGTACACCTGAAGTGTGTGTGAAGACAACATGGTGATGCCCATGGTGTCAGAATGATGAACTGATGTAATTCACAGTCACTG